AAAAGAAACTTTACAGTTCCCTGGGAACCTATAATTTGGAAACGGAAGCACACAAGAACAGACTTTAGTTTTCAGGCAATAAATTGAAGAGAATTCTGCAGACATACAACAGAAAAGGAGCATAAAATATTGGCTTGTGCACTTCTTAGAATGTTAGTTCATTAACTTGATAAGCTGCACAGGGAAAAATACAGCCAAAATCTACAAAGATTTCCACTGGGATTTCACACTGGCATATTTATTCAGCAAGAAATAGCTAGAGGATGGAGGGGGAAATATGCATCCAGTCGTGGTAGAGACGATTTAGTGTGAATCTCCAGGAAGACACCTTGTTGAAAAATCTCCATGTGGACTCTAAGGGGACACACGGAAGCCCAAAGCCCCAAGGACAGGCGTAAATATCATGCTCCATCATCTGTGTCCTGGGGAACAGATCTAGGAAATTATACAAGAAAATCACAGTCTTTCACATCAACTTTTCACACATAATTCAGCATAAACTTGAAAAGTATTTTAATTTTCCCTCCTTCTTGCCCAAAATGTTTTTGTAATGCTTTATTGGAAACTTTCATTCACTGGCGTGTGCTCAAGATCTGTATTACTCATCAGCATAAAATTGTTAACAAAGGATTTGTCAGGCGATACTTCCAATGGGCACTGTCTTCTATGGCTAGAAGCTCATTAGCTGTCCCTCTGGGAGAAAACGCTAATAACTGAACCTGTAGGTCAGGCACTGTGCTAGGCTCTTTCATAAGCTTCATCTTATTTGAACTATCCAGAAAGGTACTAAGTGTAATCCTCACTTACAGATTAAAAAGGAGAGGGTCAGAGAGATTTCCTGCGTTACTCAAGTAATTACATAGTCTTAAACTAAGGTATTTTCAGACAAAAATAAAAGAACTCAGGACAAATGCACTAAACTGCCATCTCTCTTTGGTGAGTGGCACTGGGCTAGCTCTTTATTTACAGTAGGAACAGAGTGTCAGGATGTGCAAGAGATGTTACACACCAGAGGTCAGTTCACCTGCACGTATGCTTCACTGGACCCACGAAGTATTTAAAACCATTGAACCAACTTTCTAAAATCCACAGATTTCATGTAAAGATCCACACGTTATGGCAACCAGAAGGCCCCTTGACTCTAGGGGCAGCAGTCAGCCAAAACTTAGTGGTCCCCATGCCTTCTGATAAGGCATGGATTCACAGTCCCCATCACTCTCTATTCCATCCACCCATGCAAGCCATGGCAGCAGCTATTTTTCATTAGGCTTATGTTCTTGTTTTCCTTATAAAGGAGAACCATTTCTCCAAACTGTGTCTCTTTCAACAGACTGAACGGCTGTCTTGTCCCTTTACTGTCCTCTTTGTGGGTAGAGTGCTCCTCCCCAATCCTGTGTCTCCAATTCTCATACCAACTGGTTGAATCTCTTCAATCATCCTTTGGAGCGTGATCCAAAAGCCATTATTGTTTCTGGCAATGTTCGGCCTTAGATTTTTCTGGATATAATCTCTATTTGGCTGAATCATGAAGTCAGAGTACCCAACCATTACAAAACACTGGTGTAGAAAAAAACAAATTTTGTAGGTGCCAATCACACAACCATCAGCTAATCACACAACCACCAACCAACCAAGTAAACCAGATGCTAGGTGACTGAAACGTAAAGGGCTTAGCAAGGCTAACTTATAAACAGGAAGCACTTAAAACAACAGCAGTATTAAAAAAAACAAAAAAAAAAAAAAAAAGTGCCCCCAGAAAGGAAAGTTCTGCCTTCAGAAGGCAGTAATTGCTACATCTGAGGACATCTGCTTAACAATCCAGGAAAGTGGGAGTTTTACTCTCTATTAACCTTAACCAGAGACATTTTCATCAAAATTAATCGTGATTACTTTTTATTGCATTTCAAATACTGTCCGTTATTTGGGGTGGTCAGGAATGCAACTAAGCAATTCCAGACCAGGCTATCTTTTATGAATAAGTGTATGAGGTAGTTACTAAGGCCCCTTATGAAAATATTGCTATACAAAAGTTCGTGGGTCAAAACAAGACATTAATTTCCATAACAGGATGTGTCCTTAGAAAAGAAAAAACAGAAACTTTGATGCTCAATGCATATCAGAGCAAAACTGCATAAATACCCATGTGCAGCATAGATACTTTTAAAATGTTTCTTTTTCCTTTTCTTTGTTATTATAATAACAATTAAAAAGAGAAAAAGAAAAACAAACAACAAAAAAAACCTTATTGAGTATAGCTTGCATCAAGTATGATCTTAAATTTTTATATGCATTGACACTTTATTTTTATTTATAATTATTTTTTAATCCTCACCTGAGGATATGCTTATTGATTTCAGAGAGAGGAGAACAGACAGAGAGAGAAAAAGGAGTGAGAGAGAAGTAGAATTTGAGTGAGTACATTGATTAGTTGCCTTCCAAATGGGCCCTGACCAGGAATCAAACCTACAACCTAGGTACATGCCTTCATGGGGAATGGACCCCACAACCTTTCAGTGTATGGATGATGCTCTAACCAATTGAGGGCTACAATGACTCTTTAATCCTCACAGCTCTGTAGTAAGTGCAATTATTATTCCCATTTTACAGATAAACTAGTCTTAGGGAAGTTACCCTAACCTGCCCAAGGATATTCAGCTAGTAAATAGTAAAAATGTTGGAATGAATCCTGGACATTCTAGCTACACAGTTAGATAAAGAAAGATAGCAACAACATACATCACTGTCACAACAATCAATTGGTCTGTTATGTTTTGTATCCTGACTGTATCTTGCTCTGTGCAACCTCTGTACCTGCCCGGAGGGCCTTCCCTACTGCTCTCTCCCTACCATGTCAAACTAATTCCACCCCAGTTCCACTTGGCCCATGAAGACTCTCTCCAAAGTTTTCTCGCCCTCCTCTTTTAGATCTCTAGAACCCTCATCCATAATCTCCCCATATGAGACTGATATGAAAAAAACAAAGGTGGTGTTGGCTGCCCAGTACCCGCTTTGGTAACAGAACTCTCTTTCTTGTGTGAAATCAACTGTCCCCACTTAGCCAATGGGCTTTGGGTACGACTGACCTGATCCTGGCTTGGCCAATTCATGTGTTTTATCAGCCTTTGAACTTTATCTGGAACTACTAAGAAAATACTTTTCTCCTTCCCCTGGTCCAGGGGTCGGCAAACTGCGGCTCGGGAGCCATATGCAGCTCTTTGGCCACTTGAGAGTGGCTCTTCCACAAAATACCATGTCCTGGGTGAGTCTATTTTGAAGAAGGGGTGTTAGAAGTTTAAGTTTTAAAAATTTGGCTCTCAAAAGAAATTTCAATCGTTGTACTGGTGATGTTTGGCTCTGTGGACTAATGAGTTTGCTGACCACTGCCCGGGGCTAACAGCGCTCAGAGCTCTGTGTTGGCTGCTGGTGGCCATCATTAGCATCACTGTGGACACCTTCCTGTGAATCAAGGTAACAAAGAACAGTGCACACCTATGAGTAGGATAAAGTCCATTCCGATGCCATAGTCTGCAACTAGGAGCCCCGACCAACCCAGTTGACATAAGAATTAAACAGCTTCTATAAACTAACAACACAGAATCCAGCATATGGAAAAGTTTAATAAATGGTACCTAATCCTGTTAATACTTCTCTACATTAGTTTCTTGAAGGTGGAAGACCTGGAGTCAGGTTCATCTCCACTCCATACTTGGATGTCATTTCATTACTTTTCTGAGAGTAGTTTTACCATATGTAGAATCACCATTTTTTTTTTTGTGAAGAATAAATGAGAATATGTGCCTGGCAAGGCAATAAAATGTTCTACAAATTTAAGTTAACTGTTATCTCAGTCTGTAGGCTTCAATCTGATGTCTCATAACTCATAGGGAAAAGAGTTACAAAATCCTGGGATGTAATTTGCCAAGAACATTGAGGAAGCTGTGGATTCAAACAAGTGACCAGTCCATGCTAACTAACTAAGGTGGTCCCAGGGCTGAACAAAGGAGCTGATTCTAATATTATGCTTTCCAAATCAGGTATTGGTGCAAGGAGGCTTGAGTGGCAACCTCCAGGCACCTCCCAGACACAGAGAGAAAAGAAGCTACTACGAAGTCATCCCCTCGTGCCAGGCTCAGTGCAGACTCTGCATTTCTTACTCCGGAATAATTTATTTCTCTTCGGTTCAATTAAAAAGAACAACTATGAGTACATATTGAAATTATCTAACTTCTTCTATCTCCAAGGAGGAAACCTAATATATAACTGGAGAAAGACACTAATTAATAAGTAAAATTTAAAATGAACTCAGGCCAACTTGAACTTGAACTGCTCTGTTTAAAGGCCCACAAATAAATAAAGCAACTTCAAAGCAAATGCCCTGGGCTAGCTTGAATGTTTTATTGAGCACATGGAGAGAGCCCCTTTGCCAAAAATAGGAATAGTTAATGAGGAAAAATGGGTGTCTTCAGTGGGTCCATTGGTTTCTGAGAGCCATCCATTCAGAGATAACTATATTCCACAGAGAAGACAGAATAATGATCTGTCTCAGACCCTCAGTTTTAAGCAAAACAAAACCAGTTTTATAAACTGTCTGAGATCAACTTCATGCATCGTTTCCCAAATATCTTCTGGGAAAATAGGCACACATTTCCCTTCTCCTAAAACCAAAGCTACTTCCATAATTCTATAATAAAAGGAAGACATTTCTGTCTTTTAAGCTTCTTGCCAACGATATAAATGCAGCCCTTCGCTTTTAAGGTAAAGTGCAGGAACCAAGAGAACCTGTGAAGCATCGGTGGCCTCCCCCATAATGGGCTTTGCTTGGACTCCATTTTGAAATGATGCTCCTCACTACAGAGACCTCCGGGTCCCCTGGGGGTACGTGGTTAGTGCTGGATTCAGAAGCCACAGCTTCTGCGCATGTTTTCCCACAGCAGTGGCTACATGTCAGAGCAAGTCGACCTCCAACTATTCAGGCAAGAAGAGGAGAAGCCCGGGCTCACCTGCAGGTGCTGGGAGGTGTCAGCCATGCTATCTTCCCGCCTGCGCACTTCCTCCAGGAGCTGGGCATTCTTCTTCTTTTCCAGCTGCTGGTTGTGCTTGAGGTTGGCCACCTTCTTATTCTGATCCTTCATATGCCTGAGGAAAGTCAGCACAGCTGGGTTAAACTCAACCACTGCCAGGTTGTACGTGATCATAATGGAAGTGCTAAGTACAGACCCATATTGATATGGGTTCAGGGAGAGTTGGGACTTCAGAATATTTTATTCATTCAAACACACATGGGTATGGATCACTTAGTTCATGCCAGGGACCAGAAGGGCACTGGGGCTGCAGTGGTGAATAAAACAGGGATAGTCTCCACCCTCCTCATGGAGCTTGGAGTCCAGTAGAGGAGACAGACAAGCACCAAGGAGACACAACTTGGGTTTCCTAATGTTGAAGGAAACACACAGCATGTTGTGAGAGATGAGGTGCCTTGCATGTGTGGGAAGGCAGTGGGTGGAGCAGATGGCTTTAGTCACTGTGTTTGGGAAACCTCCCTAAGGAAACAAGACTGTGGGTGAGACTCGGAAGGACCAGCCAAGAAAACACTTGGGGAGTATATGGATGTGCTTCCCCCCCACCCCACCCCTCTACCCCCAAGCAGAGAGAATAGCAAGTATAATTCCCAAGGCAGGAAAGGACCTGGCTACTTCTAAGAACTGGAAGACTACAGGAAGGCAAGTAATGGAGTGGGGTGATGTGGGGTGGGGTGTGGTAACGTGGGATGGGGTAGGCGACAGAACTGCAAAGGTAGGTAGGACTCATGGTATGCTGGGCCCTAAGGTCTGTGATGGAACATTTATTTTCTTCTAAGTAAGTGCTTGCTATTCTAATTATTATTCTTTTGGATCAGGTTCTATTCTGAAATCATAATCCATTACTTTGATTTTAAAATAACAATTACAAGGCTCCAATCAACTACATTGTCATCACTTAGCTCAAACAGAATAACACTTTGGCTAATCATCGTGCTAAATAAGCCCCAGTGCTTGGACCAAAAGTTCTCAATGAATCTATAGGATGTCAAGGTGCAAAATCATAAATTGATCAAGTGAATAAAAGATTAAGGATTAAGGGTTAAAACAAAGCAAGTGGGGGGGGGGTGCAGTTACAGGCGTAACGTGGACTATTTCACCAGCAGCGTTTAGCAAAACATTCCACAGGTTTAGGCAACCATGTCCACAGCAGCTGTTATAAATCTAATCCAACGTGTGAGGAGGCAGGAGGGCCGTCCAGAGGGCTCAGGAGCAGCGATTCCAAAGTTGGAGAGCCATGGAGCAGAATCAGCGGGGGACCTTTCAATCCCTTCGCCCTCTCTCCCCAGTCTTGCTAAGTGGGCCACTGTTACTGAGCCCCAAGTCCCAAACAAGTGTATTGAGAACCGCCTCCCTTATGGAAGTATGGATGAGATGAGAACGAGGTGATAAACAACAAACAGGCCCAAATGAAACAACTTATAATCAAATGAACGCATTCTCAACAAGAAACTCTAATTTCCAGTGCTCATTAAATTACAGACGTGTCTACTTCCTCCTACTCCAAGAAAAAGAAGCTCAAGGGAATTGTTTATTGAGCTCAAAAATCTTCTATTAGGGGCCCTGCTAATAAAAAGTATTCTGAGCCAACTAATTATTTGGCTCAGTTGGGTCAGAATATTTATAGAACCAACTGGCTCAGTGATTTAAATATTTCTTGTGATACCTATTAAGAGGATATAAGTATATAAGGTAAGACAGAATCACCATTATTTGGATTGGATTACTAGAATTTTGGCCTGATATTTCTCTGCTTTAACCAGCTACAGTAATGTACACATATGTTACTACCAGCAAAGTCTACATGCTAATCTACTTTTAGGGGAGTATCGTTTAGTTTAGTTACTAGAGAGATGTTAAGAATGACCACTTGCTACCTAATTGAACAGAGGTCTAGTAGTTCCAAAGTGCATACTAACTCAGGGCAAGTACAATTCCTAGTTCCTGGAAAGACAAGGCCAGTGAACGGTAATAGGACATGATGGAGAGGTATTACTGATGAGATTGTTTAATTAGAGGACATGTCTTAGAAAGAAATACATTTTTAATTACTCCGAAGTACACCCTTAAGTAGAACTAACTGCTAAATGCCCCCCCACCCCCCCCTGCAAGTACCAGTGATAAATAAGACAGATTATAATTGCAAACACCACTTAAAGAACTCCCACAAAGTTCTTAAGCAGACCTTGTTTTCTGGGACACTGCAGGCTTTTTTCAATCCAAAAAGAAGAAAACATTCCAAATCTATGCACCCCTTAAAACTTTCCTGAATTAAGAATGAGCAGCAATCAACTCATGCTATATAATTTCATACAGGAAAGTATGCAATTTTAGATGCACAGTTCAATGATCTCTGACAGATGTGTTATGCCCATGTAATTACCACCACAATCAAGATATGGATCCTTTGCATTACCCCAGGAGTTCCTTGCGACCATTCACAATTAATCCCCTGCCACCACCCAGGCTTGGCAACCACTAATCTGTTCCTATAGATCAGTGTTTCTCAAACTTTTGACATATGTGTAGTCCTTCTATAATTTTCGTAAAGCTGAGTACCCCTGGTACTCATGAGAACGTAGAATTAGGTGCAGCTAAGCATGGTGCAGTGCATATCCCCACAAAACTCCGGTGCACCTCCTACCACCACCAAACTCTTCCCGCACCCCTGGGGGTACGTGTACCACACTTTGGGAAAAACTGCACAGATAAATGGAACCACACAGTATAGACCAATTTGTGTCTGCCTTATTTCACTCAGAATGCTGTTTTGTTAATTACTGATTAACAATGCAGTTGTCAGAATCAGTAGTTAGTCCATTTTTGTTGCTGAGTAATATTCCATACATAGTTATTCTAAAGTTTGTTTAACTTATTCATATGTTGATCAATATCTGGGGGTGTTCCAGGTTTCTAGCTATGGAAGTAAAACTGCTATGAACATTAAAAAGAAAATAGAATGGGTGGCTAAGAACAATGGAAACTGAAGTTCAGACACTGTGATGGAGGCATTTCTTCAGTCATCTCCAACTATTCCTTCAAATACCACCTTAAGACACTAGCAATTGGAAAATAAAAGTAGGGTTTAGAATGGCACAACATGGGATTTGGGCCGATAAGATCCATGCAAAACAAGGTGATGAGGATGATCATCTTGTCTTTGCACATGTGAATATCAAGAGATTCATAAAGTGTCCATACTTCTTTGTTTGTGTCCATACTTCTTTACTGGAGTTTTCATATATCTTTCTAGCAATAGAACCATTCCTTCTAAGAAAAGCTTACTTGAAAGCCAAAAAGAAAAAGAAGAACTGCTCTGCCAGAGGTAGGAAGGAGGAAAGGAGTGGAGTGCGATGGGAAGAGATGGGCACCTCACCCACTGGACAGTTCCCCTCTCAGATGCTCCTCAGGGAAGCTAAAGCAAGCTGTGGGGTAGGAAGAGAGTAGGAGGCATGTAGAAAAGTCATAACGTTTAAAAAATATTAGATCCCTTGGAGAAGAGAAAATACCCCCACACAAGCTCACTAGACACTTGTTGAAGGAATGACCACAGTGATTCTTACTAGTTGTCACTTCAGCATTTCCAAGAATAAGAAGTGTAAGTAGCCTATTGATCCCCACACCTTCCCTGCCTGCAGAAGTAAACACACACCTCACAGGTCAGATCATGCTTCACTGCGACACTCCGTATGGCTTCAATGGTCTCCAAACCTCTGTGGGAGTGCAAACCACCAGCCCTCTCGCAGTGCTGCCGGAGAGGAAAGTGTCTCTAATACCAGCTTCCTAACTTCCTTCCCCTCCCCTCACCCCCAAGCAACTCAGTTTCCAAGACCACCAGAAAGTGACCTACTCCACGTCTGGGGAAAAGTTATTTTAGAGTGATTTTTTCTCTCTCTAGGAAAACAGAATTAAAATATATAGAAAATGCAAATTTTGTTCTTAAAAAGCAATCATGGGGGTGCAATTAGAGAGTACAGTGATAAGGCCAGGTTTTAATGTTTGCCCTAACTTGGCCAGTCTCATTAAGCAAGTCATGTCACTTTTCTTTTCTTGTCTTTTAATGTTTTTATGGATTTTAGAAAGAGAGGAAGGAAGAGAGAGAGATAGAAACAACGATGAGAGAGAAACATCCATTGGCTGACTGTTTCATGACCCTACTAGGGATTTTCCCAAAACTTTGGGCATGTGTCCTGAACAAGAATCAAACTGGTGACCTTTTGCTGCATGGGGTGACACTCAACCACTGGGCAACACCAGCCATGCAAGTCATGTCACTTTTCAAATTCAGCCATCATTAAGGAATTTGGATTAACTGAAAAAATTCCAGCAGGCATCTAGATCAACAATGGCTACTATAGCCGAAACCGGTTTGGCTCAGTGGTAGAGCATCAGTCTGCGGACTGAAAGGTCCCAGGTTCGATTCCGGTCAAGGGCACGTACATTGGTTGCAGGCACATCCCAAGTAGGGGGTGTGCAAGAGGCAGCTGGTCGATGTTTCTCTCTCATCAACATTTCTAACTCTCTATCTCTCTCCCTTCCTCTCTGTAAAAAAATCAATAAAATATATATATATATATATTAAAAAAAAAAAAAAAAAACAATGGCTACTATAAAGAATGAATGTCAGTCATGGTTGGGGAATTAAGTTGGGTGGAGCATCAACCTGATATGCCAAGGTTGAGGTTTAACCCCTGATTGGGGAACACACAAGAATCAACCAATAAATGCATAAATAAATAGAACGACAAAATGAATCTAACTTCCCCCCCATCCTCTTTCTCTTCCCTCCGCCTTCCTTCCTCTCTCTAAAATAAACAGATAAAAATGTCAGAGAGGACAGACTCCTGCTAGTTTCACTTGAATAATCCATCAAACTAAAATCAGAACATGTTCTCTAACTTACTGCTGAGAGCTGGTCAGGCCTCTAGAATGACCTGGCTGCGAGTATGGGCTGGGAGTTAACTATGTTTCTCCAAGAATGTATGTTTATTTGTACAGAAAAGAGAAAACCAAACCTTTGCTTTCTTTAAAATCTCAGCAGAAATCAGATGCCATTTT